AATGAATTTATTTTATTTTCTCTTTTAGTTTTTTGCTGCTCCGCTGCTGCTGCCTGCCCCTGCCCCTCCAACTCTGACTCTGGTACTCTGGGGGCTCTTGTGATATTTTTAATAGCATTTTTTTCTCCGCAGAGGAATTTCGATGCTCGGCAACAAGCAACATCGATGAGCTGAAGCTGGAGCAGGGGCCACAAATAAAATGAAACAAGAGAGTGTGTTCCAGTGGACTGTAACTCGACAGTGGCATACCCTCTAATCAGTGGAAATTATGGAAATTAAAATGAACTGCAGCTGCGATTGCTGGTAACTTCTTTTGCGTATTCTGACGCTGACCCAATCCGACATATCCTTATATATTCCACAATTACGGGGTACAGCAATATATGGCAGAAGCGGCAGCTAAAGGCGGATGGGGGGAGGCGTGTCATCATGGCACACGACAAATAAATTTGTCAACAAATGTGGCAGCGTCCGATGGTGCGATGTTGCTGCCGTCGTCGTCGTCGTCGTGTGTGGGTGAGAGAAACCATCCCCAATACCCTCCGCAGAGATCCCTTTCCGCTTTCTCGTGGCGCCCCTGGCCACAGAAGAGGATTTGGGGGTGGGGCCAACGAATAATGTTGACAGTTGGGCATTAATTTTTTCACTAATTAATAAATGTTGTTGCTGTTGTTGTTGTTGTGGGATTTTATGTGGCTGTTGCTGCTGCTGCTGCTGGTTCTGCTGTTTGGCAGATATCTTTAGTGCAACAAAATGAAATGGTTTATTGGCCTATTAGCGCAGCATTTAAATGGCAATCAAGGCGTGGTGGGCCACTCAGGTAAGCCAAAAGTCACGCAAAGTCACAAATTGTAGGCCGGCAAACACACACACACACACAGACACGAACGGAACGAATCGAATCGAATGAGCAAACACAACGACGGCAAACAAGGCAAACAAAACTAACGACTGACTGCCCGATGAAGGCGCATAAACAAAAATTCACCAAAAAAACAAAAGCAAACGAAGAGCTGAGGAGAGACAGGAGTGGCAGGAGTGGCAGGCGAGGCACAGAGGCAGAGGAGCAGCCTGGCAAATTGAAATCGAAAAGGAAATCAATTGATGTGTAGCGACAATCGATACTGGGCGATACTCCTATGCCCAAGAGTCGAGCCGTGCGGAATGGCATGGAGGTGTGGTCTGTTTCTGAGTCCGGATTCTGAGTCCGGTATGGGCCAAAAACCACACGCATATTGTACTGGCCTCTGTGGGTACGCACCAAGGCACAGGCACAAGCACAGGCATTGGTGGGGTTTTGTGATTGCCGCTTTGACACGCCCCACCACAACCATACACACACACACACAGAAAAAGGAGTCATTGAGTTGAGGGATGGGATGTTGTGGCAGCAGGTGGCGGCTGGCAAAGGCAAAGAGCAGAGACAACATATGCCCAGAGAGATGTTGGGAATCGGGCGAGCAGACCTCATATACATATACGGAGTATATCCAGTCGGTGTTATCGTTATACCCTGGCAACGTGATTGAAATTTATGACTGGCACAAAATATACCAAAACACAGACACATACAACAGTCCTCAGGGGCTGCTGCTGCTGCTACTGCTGCTGGTGTGTTACCCCAAATCGTGAGCTGAATTCCTGCTGCAGGAGCTGGCTCATCTCTGTCCCTCTGTCAGTGTCTGCGTCTGGCTTTTCCTATGAGAAATTGCAGTGAATAAAGAGAGCACTTGTACGCATTAAAACCTAATTGGGAATTTCCATAGTTCATATGACATTTTCTCTAACTGTTGTTGCTGCTGCTGCTGCTGTTGTGACTGAGTGGCATATGCGAGTGTCCTCGCTCGATGTGATGTGTCTCTGTGGCATGTTCTACATATTTTGGCTTTGCAAAATGTCACACGCAGTCAACGATGCTCTCGCTGCTGGTGCTGCTGGCGGTGGTGGTGGTGGAGGAGTGGGCTAAAGTGGATTTTGCGCTTGGCTATGATAAATTGAGGGTTTTCAGCTGGACACAACGAGAGTGGCATCAGCAGCAGCAGCAGCAGCAGCAGCAGCGTATGGTCAGCTTTAGACAGACTAAACTAAACCAGGGGCTTGGGGCTTGGGCAATGGGGATGGTGCGACTCCTGGCTACCCGGTGTGTCGTTACCTAAAACTCCTCAATGCTGCACCACCAGTGTACCACCTCTACGCTTTGTGTATGCAACAGCAGCAGCCAGTTGAGAGATGCGAGCATGCGAGAAGATGAGAAGTGGCCAAATGTCATTTGCAGTTTGACAAGCCAACCCAAGCCAGGGATAGGGATGTGGCTGGACGCTGGTTCTACGTGCGTACCATGGGATGCATCACAAGTTTCAGTCGTTAAAAATTATACTAAAAAAGCTCATAAAAAAAAAAGGAAAATGAAATGAGGGCAAGCAATCCTAAGGGAGCAGACTTGAGAGCAAACTAATGAAAATTTGCATTGAATTTAATATATTTTCATTTTAAATTCATGTCACAAGTTGCAGGAGATTTCCCACTGTTGGCTCTAATGTGGTTCTAGCTGGTTCTGGCCTCTTTCGATGCTGCAAGTGCCGCACAGGCATGCATGCCACTTGTCTGCTGTCGCACTAATTTTATCAATTTGCCCAACTGCAAAACTACAGAATGGAAAATGTCGATAAAACCCAAAGAACTAATCGGACTTAATCGGAATGCGGCACTAGAAGTAGAAGTCCCCAAGCAGCAGCATCCTTTCCTGTCGACTGTCACTGCAATGTCCTTGACATGAACTTCGCAGGCAATCAAAGCAAGAAGTAGGGAAGAAGGGGAAGAGGCAGGCGAAGCAGGAGCAGGAGCAGAAGCAGGCCTGCATATGCAGGACTGAGCAGAGCAGAGCAGAGCTGGCAACTTGGCTTAACCGATGATGACTTTGCTTTGCCGCATCGTCGTTGTCGTTGTCGTCGTTGTCGTCGTCGTCTATGGCTGCGATAAGCAAGCGACATCTTCTGCCAATCCTCTGACAATCCATCCCTTGGCCCTCCCAGCCGCACCCGCACCCGCACACGGACTTTGATTTATTGTGCGTGGCTTAAAGTTGTGAAAAGGCTGTGTGTCCTGGCGCCTGGCACGCTCTTATCAAGTCTCTCCCGAGGTCTCAGTGGCTGTGGCTGGGGCTGGGGCAGCCAAGAGAAATTTATTTATATGCAGTGACTTTGAAAAGAAACTTGGACCGAGCGCCCTGCCCAGAAACTTTCGACCTGGGTGCGCATCGATTATAAAACTTTGTGTCCTATCTTGTCGCGAGTATCCTGTGGGGACGGGGGGCCAGGGACTCTGGCTGGAATTGGCAAAGTTGTTAAATAATTGCGCTGAGCGTTTACTTGGCCAACGCTGTGCGTATGCTTCATATGCTACGACTCCGCTCCGCTTCGACTCTGCTCTGCTCTGGTTGGGGGAAATAATTCGATGCATCATGAGAGCCGACCCCGAGCCAACCCAGTATCATTGGGATTAGCAGGCAAAGTTTGCCCAGCAGCTTAGCGGGTGAGTTAATTGTGCGAATGTCAAGACAAATTGCGTTAATACGACCAGGCTGTGTGGCTGTGTGGCTGTGTGGCTGTGGGCTGCTGCTGCCTGGCAATGGCAGCCAGGACAAGGCCAGGACAACAAGGACCAAGCTCCCATAAGCATAGCACGACGGGAGGGAGCCTTGGAGTTTGTATGCCATGCCACATGCTTGTCTCTCTCTCTGTCTGTGCGCCTGCATCGTGGGTGTCGCAAAAAGTTTTTAAAAAGTATTTTAAGCAAAATTTATGCAAACCACCAAGGCAAACTGGCTGCCAAAAGGAAGCCAGGATCTGCCCCGGCACACTCCAGCCCAGCCCCTACTGGCGGATGAATATGTGCATGGGAGCCCTCTGCTAATCCCCGAGTAATCAAAGTTTCGGTAATGTCACGAGAGAGCGGAGAGCGAGACAAGCAGCTGAAGGAAAAAAAAAGCTCGGAAAAAATTTGAGGGAGAAACTGAATGCCAAGCACACAGAGAAAGGCAGGCAGGCAGGCAGGCAGGCAGGGTACTCCTCCCACTCCCACTCCTCCTCTTTCGCCCTCTTTGTTCTTTTTTCCTTTCTTTCTGCTGTGTGTGTGTGTGTGCGTTTGGGTGTGGGCTCTTTTGGGGCTGGGAAAACACTTTTCCAATTAATGAAATCTCTAAACTGCCATAAATTTAGCCGAGCGCAAATAATTAAATTTCGTTGCCCCCGCACACAACCCACGCACACAACAAACACACACACACACACACACACAAGCACAACACATGCCACAACGACTTGTTGACTTATGGGTGTGTGGAGAGTGTGTGTGGCTGTGTCTGACATTTCTGACCAATTGCACACGGACCATCGGTCCAACCTAACCACAAATGTAGGCGCCTGATGGCCAACATATTTTTGGTGCCAAATTGACAAGAAAAGGAAGGCTAGCCATCAGGGCTCGAAACATTAGATACCCATCATGGGAAGAGGAATCATACATAAATAATAGATTGATCCATCCGTTGATTAGCGGCTCCGATTAATGCCATAGTTCCAATGGCCTGGCACTACACCCATTGCTTGGATATTTATCAATAAATCATCAATCGGCGCCAGCCAAACGCACAAGCGAAAAATATTAAAGAGAATGCCCGAGAATGCAATAAAAAAATGCACGGAGTGAGCGTGCCGATGCTCGCTGTTGATTTGCATAATTCCCAAACAAGTACAATAATTATGTATATGTTTTTCGGAATTCGGAATCCTTCGTGGCGCAGGACTTGGGCACTTGCACTGGAACTCCCGCATCAACCCTGTTGTGATAATTCTTCGCAATCCTCTGCTAAAAATGAATATACCCTACTGCAGAGGGAATCACTTGCCATGCTCAATTAACCACAGCACGAAACTCTCTGTCTTCGTGGTTAACCTTTAAAAGGCATTAGAAGTCAGCTTAAAAGCTTAGGTAAGACTCACCTGCTTGACACTGGCACTCGCCGTGACCTCCGGCTGCTGCTCCTCCCTCGCCCGCTGATGCTGCTGCTGCTGCCGCCTCGGCAGCCTGCCTTCGCTGCTGGCGTCGCGTCAGCTGCAGGTGCGACACATCGCGACGCAGCCGATGCAACTCCCGGCGCACATGCAACGTCATGTGCTGGGTGCCGTTGTTGCTGTTGTCCACAATTTGCGTGTGCTCGGCGGGCCAGTGGAGCAGCTGCTGCTGCTCCAGCCTCAGCTCCAGCTCGACAATGCGTGCGTCCAGCTGCTGGAGGCGTTGCAGCCGCTGCTCCATTCGCGTCTGCCGCACATTGGCGTACAGGGCGAAGCTGAAGGCGCACAGGCACAGCACATAGCTGGCGATCTGCAGCAAGGACATGAGCTTTATGGTGGGATGAGGTCGCTCCTTGCTGCAGTTGGCAGCTGGCTGATGCTGTTGCTGTTGCTGATCCGGCTTGTCCTGACAGCTCACGGTGGTGGGGGCTGCCAGGCGACTAGCTGTGCTCGCTGCTGCTGTTGCTGCTGCTGCTGTTGGAGTGGGACCATTGCTGGCCATTTGATTGTGTCCTAGGAGCAGGCACTGCTGCTGCTGCTGCTCTGCCTGAATTTCCACTGTGGATGCGGCTCCTGCAGCTGGATCTGTTTGTGTCCTTGGGCTGCCGCTGGGCGGCGCTTTGTGCTTGCGCATGCTGCGTTTAAGATGGAAAGCTGTCTCTCGCCCCCTCCCTTCTCGCTCACCCTAGGCTTGCCTCCTTGTGGGGCTGCTGCTGCTGCTGCTACACTTGAGTCTGTTGCCCGCTGACGTTGCTGTTGCTGTCACTTGAAGTGTGTCCTTGTGGCATCACACAGAGAAAATAAAAAGCAGCACAAAACACATATGCGGCAGTCACTGGCAGTTTGCTCCTTTTTTGGCCAGCGCTGTCTGTCGAGTGCTTTCCTATCCCTCTATTCTCCTCTATCCTCTATCCTTTATCCTCTATGCACACTATCCACGTTCTCGATTCTATTTCGTTGCGGTATTTGGCCAGAACATTGCGCTTCTAATGTTGCTGCCCCGTTGTTGCCTTCGTAGCATGCAACGCAGCGACGGCCATGGAAAGCACCGACTAAGGGGAAAACTTTTGCTGCGTGCTCTGCTCTGCTTCGCTCTGCTGGCTGTCCAAGCCCCGGGGGTTGGGTTGGGTTGGGTTGGGTTGGTGGTCGCCTTTGTTTTTGTCCTGTCAATCGTTGAAGCAGCTGCTGCTGATGCTGCTGCTGCTGGTGGTGGTTCTCCTTCGTCTTCGAATTGTCTCCTGCTCGTTGACAACTTCTGTTCCTTGGTTTCGCACTTGTCCTTTTAGGGCTCTTCACATTGCAACTTGTTTAGTTTTGGTGCTCGCGAATCCGTTCACTTTTCAACTGCAACGAAAGAAAATGAGAGAAGAAAAGTGAAAAATAAGTTGGAAGCAAACTTTTTTTCCATGGCACTCGAATTATGTGTCGCCGCATTTTCAATAATCAGCCAGGCTCGGTTGCCACGGACGGGTGACAAGTCCTGGCCTGGCTCTGGCTCTGACTCTGGCTCTGGCTCTGGTGCTAACTTCGTTTTGAAGTTCACCCAGCCGTGCCCACCGTGCCACCACCCCCTTCGGCTGCCGTGGCAACCAAGTACCTCGCAAGACTCGGGCAACCGAAACTTTTTTACTCCAAACTTTTTTCTAGCTCAAGTGGCAGCCAGCGGTGGCAGCAACAACTGACTACAACAAAAAAAAAGGAAACAACACAAATAAAAAACCAAGAAGCGGCAGCAGCAGCAGCAGCAACAAGATGCCACAAGGGTCGGAGCGAGGCGGGGCTGGACTGGCGGCATTACGAGTATTTGACCCATAGACTTGTCGTGTCAAAAACATTTGTTGCCTTCAACTGTGCCCCACATGCCACCGACCATCAACAGGGTGATCAGAAGGCGTCTGGGGGTGGGGTGTGTTGGTGTGTGGCAACAGCAATACAAAAGTCATAAAGTGGAAATTATAGCAAAGAAACAAGAATACTTTTTGTTTGATGGGTGGAGTGGGGTGGGTGGGTTCTGGTGAACAACGCAACTGAAATGCTCTTTAGAGAAATGAAATGAGCTTGAGAACTTTTTCGCAAATGGCAAGAAACAGAGACAGAGAAACAACAACAACAAAATACAGTTTAAAAAGTATCAAAAAGTTGACCAATGGGGAGCAAGAGGAACTTTTAGAGCAGCTTCCAAAACTATATCATTCTTTCCACTCATTAAATTATGTGGTAATTAAATTACAAAATAGGATATCAAATTATATATATGCATACGCTGCCATTCTTAAACCTAATTGATGCACAATAAAAATCGCATGCTTTTAATTTATAGTTTTAAATATGTTCAATTCTGGTGCTCAATTTTTTTACAGAATTTCCACAATTTCATATTTTATTGTGTGGACTTAAAGCTCCTGTTGTTTCGATTTTTGTTTTTTGGCATTGCGCAATCAAGCGCCTAACAAGCGACGGACACAAAAAAAAAAATAACCGAAGCTCTATTAAACTCAAAAACAATCGCACAATCGACGACCTGCCCCCCTCAGGAGCACCACACCACACCACACCGCCGCCTAAGCCGCAACCACACAAAAAACAACAAAAATTAAGCCAACGAAAATCGAACAAAAAAAAAAAAAAGGCATAAAAGTCAAAAGGCCAATATCAAACGGAGGCATCGGCAACGGGTCGAAAACCACAACAACAATAACGCACCCCCGCTCGCCCCGCCCACAAAAGCCCGGCTCAAGTCAATGGAATGTTTGGAACACCCTAATAAAACTAATTGAAAGTCTTGTGCGCTCCTCTGCAGCCAATAACGGACACAATGATGATGAGGATGATGAGGATGATGATCATGATCATGATGCTGATGATGATGGTGGCAATGAGCATGATGACGTCGCAGCAACAACTGCAGTGGAAATGGAAAGATGCTTTTAATTTAACAAATAAGAGCAAGGCAGGGCAGGGCAAGGCAGGGCAAGGCATGTGTGTGTGAGTGTGTGCTGCACGGACTTTAGCGCTGACATTGCAATTGGCTGGGCAACTTCTCCAACAACAGTCTGCAGCTACAGAACCTCTTGGATATCGATTTCGATTTTATACATTGTAGAAGCCAAAAAGGTTAATGCTATTGGCTGGGGGGGTGTGGAGTACGACGAGTAACTCAATATAAAATAAATTGATTTAAAATTTCAACAATTTGGTGCGCAGCTTTTGTCAATTACGTGAGGGAGAGAGAGTGTAAGAGCGAGTCTAATGACTTTGGACTCTGTCAAATGCTGTGCTCAAAAGTATGCTATGGATTCTATTCTGTTTTTTTCTCACACTATTCGACACAAATTGAATTATGCTGCACATGTGTGTGTGTGTGTGTGTGTGGCAGTGGGAGTGTAAGTGGGTGGCTTAGCCACTTAGTAAACCCATATTGATAGTGTGTCTCTGCCTGTGTGGGTATATGTGTGTGTGTGTGTGTCCATCTGGCAATTGAAAAATTTGATTTCGAATTGAAATGCAAATCAAGCGAAAATTGAATGGCCTTAGCTGGACTGAAACGAACTGGACCGGACCGCACCGCACCGGACGGAACGAAACGGATGGACGTTTGGGGCCACAAAATGAAATCCTATCCCATCGCATCGCATCCTATGCCAGAGGCAAGAGGCAAAAGCTTTCTAAGTCCGGCACAATGTTGAGTTAAGTGCCACACGTACGCGTATGTGTGTCAGTGTGTGTGTGCCTGTGGTGGTGCTGTTGGATGGTCAATGGCTGTAAAAAGCTCAATTGCAATGCATTCAAAAGGATTATTGTCCTTATTTATTTTGCTAAATTTATTCGTTACGCACAAATGCGCAAGAACCAACCCAAAAAGGAGGCATGCGGCATGTGGCATGTGGCATTGGGGGTCGGTCGTGGCCAATAAAAACAGCAAGCCAAAACAACACACAAACAACACACAAGCAACACACAAAAATCAAAGCAAATAAATAATAAAAATAATCGGGGCCGTTAGCAGCACATGTGCATTTTTCACCATCATCATCATCATCACAGTCAAACATCACATCAGCAATGGTAGTTTAGTTGTAGGTTGCCGCCAAAGCTAAATCCAACAACTTTGTTGCAGGCAGCAGCAGCAACATTTGCAATGTGGCATCCCATCCTCGACAGCTTCGTCTGGGGCCAGGGCGAGGCAATAAATAGTTGTCGTGCCATAAGAAAAATGCAAGAAGTGTTTAAGTTTTCCTCCCCCCATTCTGTCGTTCCTTTGCTTTGCTTTGCTCTTTTTTTTTTCTTCTTTTTTGGTTGTTTGGCAGCCAGGACCCGGAACCCACACCCCTTGCTCACAAAAGTGAAGCGTCATTTCCTACGGCTCCTTCTTCTTTACTGCTCCATCATTTAAATTGAAAAAAAGCTGAAAAAAAAGCTGAAGTGGCAGTGGAAGTTCCTTGAAGTTAACTGAAAAAGAGAGAGAGCGAGCGGCGAAAGGGGGAGAACAGGCGATAATGTTTGTCAGGCTGCGGGGGCGGAACGGAACGGAACGGCACGAATTTGGGAAACTTTCGATTTTGGGGCACACAGAAAAAAGTGCCGGGACCCATTTCAGTTTTGATTAAGGGCCAGCAGCAGCAGCAGCAGTAGAAGTGAAAATGGAAATGTAAGCAATGCTGGAAACCCAAAAACAGAAGTTGCATTCAATGACTTTAAGGCTGAGACTTTTTTGATATTGTTTGCTGGCTTTTGAAGCAACATTTCGAAACGAAAGCGATTTGAAACTGAGCTGAGAAACGTCTTACAGGAATCATTGACAAGCTTTGAGGTAAATAAAGGGAATTTTCAGCTCAATATCAGATAGTTGCCTTGGCAGGAATTTTCCACTCAATATCAGATGGGTTACCTTGGTAGCTTTTGTATGGTCTGGTTTGCTGCCATGTATCTAGATACTCTAGATAATCCATTTTCATTTCTCCCAGTTATGAAATGTTTTCAGTTTGTATTCGGTTTTTATGGCAGCTCTTTAGTTTACGATGAAATAATGCGAATCACTTTGCCACAACCAATCTTGGCTTCAGTTTTAATGTCTCAGCAGGGGTGGGGCAAGATACATATGTATCTACATGTCAGGGTGTGTGTGGGTGTGTTGTGTTGCTTTGCTGTTTTCATATAATTTTTACAGCTTGTTCGGGATGTGGATGTGGTTACTGCTGCTGCTGCTGCTGTGGCTCCTTCTTCATTGGTTCAGGGCTCATTCTTCTCTCTCTCTTTCATTTTTTATGTTCTTGCCCCTCCCGGCTGCTGCTTCCACAAACAAACTATTAGTGCAACTCATTGTTGGGAGGCGTCTTTGTACTTTTATGTGCTCGGAGTCCCTTCGTCCACGCGGGTTGAGGGTGGGGGGCGGAGTGACTGTGGAGAGTGTGTAAGAAAGATTCGCAACAGAAGTTGCCCTTGGGGAGAAATTACTTAATTTTGGAATTTCAATTTAGCACTTAGACAGGAGGAAACATGGCAATGCGCAATGCGGCGGTGGGGGGAAGACAAGGAGCCAGTAGCCAGCAGCAAGTAGCCGGAAAGGACCCTCCTGCGACAGCAATCGTGTTGAAAGTGTATTGGCATGGTCTGTGGCATGTGCCACATGTGCGCATAAGTATGTGTCTGCTTGTAAAAATCCAGCTTACACATTCTGTGACTCCTAAAAATGTCCGGAATTTTGGCACACGCAATGTCTGCCTTTTGTTTACACATCGTCCCTTAACTTTTCCGTCCACAATCTCTATTCTTTTATTTCTCTCAGGAGTAGGTGGAGCTGTAGCTGGAGTTGGGGCTGGGACTGGGACTGGGACTGGAGCTGGTGCTGTGGCTGGAGTTTCCACAGTTTGTTGCACAAAACTGCTTGAACACTTTGTACAGACACTCAGACAGACAGACCCAGACACACACCGTGAAGACTCTGCTCTTCTGGCATATCTCTCTAGACTCTCGCACATTCCTTTTTATTTGATTTCAGTTAGGTATTTAGCCAAGTAATGTCGTGTCACAGTTAACTGCCACTGCCACTAGCACCGCCCAACTCCCATGGAATGCCTTAGCCTTAACCAACTCTAATGAGTGTCCTTACATTGGGTTTCCGTTCCGTTCTCTATTTACAGCTGCCACACACACGGCAAAGTCACACCTCATCTCCAACCCTTGCCTGCTGCCTGCTGTCTGCACTGCCACACTGCACACTGCACTGAGTGAGTTTGTTTAACAGTGTAAAGTTACACGCAACTAAGCACTTAACTGCATAAAAGCTCGAGCACAGTAGGTGCGGCGGGTGGGGCAGGTGGCTGAGCAGTCCATGCAACATCGTAGTGGTTGCAGACTTTCAACCTTGGACTTGCAACAGTTGACTTTGCGTGCGTTTTTATGAATGAGTTGAGTTGAGTTGTGGCAAGCGGCCCCGGGGCCCCAAGGGAAGCAACAAATGTAAATCCGCGACCCCGTTAAAAGGTCGCTCAAAGGCTGCCTGCTGCCTGCCGCCGTCTGACCAAAGCCGCAGGCAGGGTCTTCTCCGTCGACGTCTGCCCCCCCGTCGTCGTCTGCCGTCTGTTGTCTGTCAGAACTTAGGCGCAAATTGAGGCGCAGGCGGAGTGGCGAACAGGGGGATAGACCGAAGAACATTAAGCAACGTCCGTCTGGACTGTGGCTGGACAGGGAGCCATAGCAGACGTAGCAGCAATGTAAACAGACACACAGCTGGACATTCGAGCTGGACTCAGCTCCATGCCACGGACTGGGGCCCTGGACAACGGACTGGGGTCTGTCTGGGTCTCTTCGTGTGTCATGTTGTGGTCTGTGTGGGGGGGCCAAAGGCAAAGGCTATAAGCAGTTGCCCATCAATTGTGCTCTGATCTGGCCATGAAGGCATAGAAAAGCGCTTAACTTACACACAAGCAGCCCGATGGGTTGCAACCAGAGCTGAAACTGGTCATTAATCGTGGGAAATGGAAAGGAATACAGGGGAAAATTTAATACAATTAAAACTCTATTGAAAACAAATGCAAATACTCAGAAAAATACACCATTTGAAAGCAGAAAACTCATCACAACACCCAAAATCACCCACTGAACCCTCTAGGGATTCGAAAATTATGGGCTAATCCCTCTGCATTAGGCTGACCGCAAAAAAGGACACGCAGACACGCATCAAATCACTCGTTTTTGTTGCTCAATGCATCCCATCCCTCTCCGCTCTCCCCGCTGACCGACCAGAATTCCCCGAACGCCGCTCGGCCTAACCGTAAGCACGTACGTGACAGAAGGTTGGATAAGTAATGGGTAATGGGACGACCATCATGTCCTGTCACCTCTCCGTGCAAAACATTGCAATATTTAACAGGGATTTCTATAGGGGTTTGTCTTTTGTCCCCAAATGGTGTGTATAATTAATAGTAAACAGTTTCGGCAACTATCAAAACTATCTCTTGCCCTTGCTGCGTGCCACTGCCACATTGCAACAGCGGAAAAAACGCAACCCAGCCCAGTAGGTACACGTTGACCATGAGCCGTGTCCTACGACCAGCTGTCGGGCCATTTAAATTTTCACATAAGCTTTTGCTAGACTTTTTGGCTTGGGCATTTAAGTAATTTTTCCTGGCAGCAACAGCAACCTGTGGGCAGCCACTATCTTCTTTTCTCTCTCTCTCTCTCTGTCGCTGTCTCCGTCTCTGTCTCTGTCTTTCTCTGTCTCTGTCATTGGTTGGTAATTTTTCACTGGCTGACAAGATGTCGCCGTCACTGGCGTTGTCGTCTGTGTCGCCTGTTCCGTTCCCTCGGTCTGGGCCCGTCTCCTTTGCCGCTGTGCTGCATAATTGCTTTGTGGTTAAAGGATTATTTACTTTTTTTTTCTCCAGCTACACCCAACTGTCAGCCTGGGTCTGGTCCTGGTCCTGGTTCTGGTAGCAGGATTGGTGCTGTGCTGCCTGCTGCCTGCTGCTGACTCACTCAAGACAGAGTTTGTCCTCCACTAAGCCGACGGCTTGCGCTGATTTGGGCTTAAATGCATTCGGCTCATTTAATTTTCAGTGCACCGCAGAAACCAACCAATCTGCCGCTTCTTTTGATACCCTCACATTACAGCGAGCATATTTACACTTGTCAGAGATGTTTACCAAGAATTAATGGAAAATTTTTGTCTTTTATTTTTGAGAATTTCCATTGGCGGAGCACTTTAAATATATTTAAATTAAATTTGAAAATTCTGTAGGAAAATTCTGTAGGAATTATAATTTCGAAATTTTGAAAAACCTTCTGCAAACATTTTTTTTAGTGTATTTCTTTCGTGACTTTAGTGCCTGGAAACCTGCTGTGGGCTTGGATGTGATGTTGCTGCTCTTCACTCTTTTTTTTCGGTCTCCCTTTCCAGTGGTGGTGCTGCTGCTGCTGCTGTCTCACAAATTATATAATTAAGTTAAAGTGAGCGGCGGTGGCGTTGCCTGGCGGTGGCTCTGTGGCTGGCAATTTACGAGCAGCTTCAAGCTCCCAGTCTCCAACTCAGAGACAGAGAGAGACAGCCGATGCCCACTCATCCTCCCAATGTGTGCGGTGTATACGTACGTATCCCCCCAAACCCCTCCCCGTCGCATACGCTAATTTCTTAATTTTCACCTTCCGCTTAGTGCAGAGCGGACGTGGACCATTCCCATTCCCAATTCCCAGTTCCGATTCCCGTTTCCCATTCCCGTGTGAAGGCACAACCCCAAAAATAGCATTTCTGTATTTCCGTGTCTATCATGACTTTTATTGTTATGTTCAGCAGCGGGCTGCCCTGCTGCAATGACTGTTATAAGCACCCGCCGCAGTGGCACGAATGGTTTTGAACCCCCCCACTCGCAGCACAGCACAGCACAGCACACAAAACCAGTTACAGTTTTGCGGGTTCCAAAGACTAAGTTCCATTCTCCCAGCTTCTGGTCCAGAGCCAGTGCCAGAGTCAGTGCCAGAGCGAGGGCCATGCCCTGTCCAATCCCCCCCCATTCGGCTGATTGCTGTTCATTCGCGCGTTAAATGTGATGGAGGGGTAAGAAGGGCAGTCGAAGGGAAGTGGATGGTGATGCTTTTGAAAATGAAACCCTACCTACCCCTCTGCCTATGCCCCAACCCCAACCCCATCAACATCTCCATCTCCATGCCCCCACCCCAGCCCCGCGTTCAACTATACTTTCCCTGGACTATTCTTTGGATCCTCTCTCTCTCTCTGGGCGTTTTGTGTTCAATTTAGCGTCATAATTTCGTTTATTGCATGGCCTGCGACAGCGTTTCGTTTACTTTCGGACAGTGCCCCTCACTTCTCTGGCTCTACCACTACTGACTGGTTCCTTCCCCACCGCCTGCCCTGCCCTGCCCAGCCACTATGCCACGCTGTCAAGTGTTCTTGTTGAGTTCATCAAAATTGTCGCTAGCTGCGATGACATCCACTTAACGCAATTTTCACTGCTGAGCTGAGAGCAGAAGCACCAAAAAGCAGCAGCGGCAAACAGTCGGAGCAGTCGAGCCGCCACTCCACTTGACAGTCATTCATTCAAGCTGCTGCTAAGCATTCATTCATTCATTCATTCAGTCATTCACTTGCTCATTCACTCACTCATTTCACACCATTTACAGTTACAATTAATGTTTGTTTGCTTTGCTGCTCCTGCTGCTGTCTCCCGCATGCCACCAGATTGTCAGAAAGGTCGGGCGGGTCAGGGGTTGTGTGTGTGCTGCCAAAAAGGACTCCGTACCCCTACCCCTACCCGCCCTCCCCAAACATCAAAGAGGTCGGTCGTCTCTGCAAAAGGAGCAACCTAAGCTTATCTTAAAGCTGCAAAAAGCTTGAATATTTAATAATTGCCCTCAGGCTCAGAAGTTCATAAAAATGTGTAGAATGCCCCCGCCCCTCACTGGAGGCAACAGACGCCGACCCAGAAGAGGCCTCCAGGGAGCCTAATGAAAAGGGTCGAGCGAAAGGCGAAAAGCGCAACCTTCGCCAGATCATAAATGAATGTTTTTGCTACAGAATTTACACCTACCTAGAGAGAGAGGAGAGGTGGAACGCGGATGGAACGTGGATGGATGGATGGGGAAGGCAAGCCAACCTGCTGCCATGTCTGGCATGGCATTCGGGCGCGGGGGCTTGGGCCTGTGGCTCATAAAGTATCTTGAATATTTGAGCAAGGTGTGTCAGTAAATTAAGGGTCTCCCCGGGGCCTGGCCTGGTCTGCCTGAACCTGAGGCTTCATTAGATGGCCGCTGCAACTTCATTTGCAGAGGGGCATAAAAAGCATACAAATCGCCAGGACCTGGCCGCTCTGCCAACTGGTTTGATGCCAATTTGTTTTTGTTTTTGTTGCTTCTATGCTGCGGGAATTCCGCTTTTTGCTCTTATCCTATTTTATCCGTCGGAGCGGAGCTGCATTTGATTTGATTTCCTTTTCGTTTCGCGTTTTGTGGGCTCCGTTTTTGGGTTGTTTTTTGGGAACAGCCCAAAAACGTATTTCGGTTTTTGTTTTCTTTTGTCATCCTGCCGGTCGTCGTCTCGTCCAACCCCCTAATTGTTGTTTTTGTTGTTTTTTTTGTCAACGTTTTGCATACAAAGCACGCACACACACACGTACCGTGCCCTGCTGCACAACCAACACACATGTTAAAAAGGTAAAAACAACATCCCGACTATAAGATACCCGCTACTCGGGAACTCGAGAACTACTTATCCAAATGGCACGAAACAAAAACAACTCAAAAAATAGCCACTTACTGTACATAGTACATCCTGTAGGCAGCATATGATTTCCATCGGCTAATAGCTATAATTAAAATCGAATCGAACCAAAGGGACGTTCCATATCATCAGAAGTATGCAAACTGCAGTTGCGACTGACTCAGATTCGTTGTACAAATTTCTGATAAGCCAACGGCATTTTATACGAAGAATTACGAGAGAAGACAAGATAAAAGATAAGCAAAATACAACCAGTAATACAGTTATTTGAAAGTACAAATCCCAGTGAAACTTTTATCAACTTAAACGTGAATGTTCTGCCATCAATGGCATTCAAAATATGGATCCACCTCTCCTCCACCTGACTGTTGCACAAACACAATATACCCTTTGTATACCCCTCCCCGCCCAGTACCTGGTATAATAAATGAACATGACCGATTCGTGTGCATATGCATTTACCCCGGTACCCCGGTGCTCGTGGGCGACCCGACCCCGCTTATTATAATCAAACAGTTTGTTTGGTTCACCTTTTTACATACTTTGCGCCGCCTGCACCTCTCTTTGGTGAGGATGGAAGATGGATGGATGGGGCCGGGGGACTGCTGAGGACGCTGGATGTTGGAACGCGCTGCTTTATTGTGCCCTGGCTGGCTGGCGGCGTTTCTTTTTTTCTTCCTTTCGCTTTGCACTTCACCCTCGGGCTGTTTCAAGCACTTAACATAATTTAATTTCGACAAAATACAGCAACTATAAATTTCTACTTTCTGCACTTGGCACTCACTTGGCACTTGGGTGCTGTTGTTGCTGTTGTCGGTGTGTGTTGCTTTTGTCACAACTTTGTTTTACTTCTTCTTTATGCTTTTTGCTTTGCTTTCCTGATCCTAAAAACAACAACAATGGAACGTAAAACTCGCGCCGAGGAGAAAGATTTTCGAAATTCGCGCGAATGAAGCTTTTGTCGTGAAACGCGCACGCACGCGTTTTGCCTTCCGTTATTTGTTCGATGACGCGCGATGTGACCGCTCGGTTCGGATATATTTTGATTTTTGTTTTTTTCCGGGTTTTCATTCACGATTTTCCGGTTCTTTCCCGCCCCGCTGTCAAATGTTGCTCGGCAGCATGTTGCTAGGAAACATACTGCAGGCAAGATAAGAAAAAAGGTATGGTATGGTACAACATGCCTTGCAACGCATGCAAGATAAAATCCAACCCAATTCCGATTTTTACAGGCCATTGTTAATTAAAAACGCTGAGGTCAGTTTCGTGGTTTTTTAAAATGGTGATGGGCCGTTTTTGCTCATTGGCCATACCTTACCATAGCACGTTTGACGAAAGAGAGAGAGAGCGACTCAGTTTTGCGAGTCAAGTATGAGCTGCTCTCTCGCTCTCAGCAAATGTTGCTGCCAAACATGTTGACGGAAACGAACTGGAAACGAAATAGATAAGGTGCGTACCAAAAATTTAAGACATGCTGAAGAAATGTTAAGGTTTGATTGGCTTTCCGGTGCAAACCGGTGTATGCCGATATATTCCATTGATCTGCATATTCAGAAAAGAAGAATACAATGGAAGAAACTAATAATTAAACTTTTGATACCCTAACAGAGAAATGAAACGAGCATGGGTGCGTGGGTACACTGGGCAGCAGTGTCAGTGGGTGGCACAAAAACACTTGCCACTTCGTTCTTGCTTGCCACTTTTTGGGGGTGCCATACACTCATTTCCGGTTTCCGTTACTTTGTGTGCGTGAAATATTTGAATTTGTTGGCAAAGTTTGGCGCCCTCCGACTTTGACATTTTGCGCATCTGAAAATTATTGAAAACACATCAAGGAGCAACAGGAGCAGCAGGAGCAGCAGCCAACAGGACAGCAGCAAGGATGACACTTTGCCGGATGTTGGCAATTTCCATTTTCCGACTTTGCGACTACCCCCCCATGGTTTTGCGGGTGGGCGTGACCGACTCGTCATCGAAATCAAATTGTCTCGTGCAATTTTATTTGCTGCCAATTGCCGGCAATGAACATAACTTCCCCTGGAGCAGGCTAATCAACGTTCCCAAAGAAGAGAGAGAGAGAGGGAGAGAGAGAGGGCCCGCCAGAAACAACTCCAAATTTGGTGGGGAGAGTGCGAGAGTGGAGAGTGGCCCTCACCGCCCACAACCCACAGCTGCCTTGCTGATAAAACGACGACGGCGGCGGCTGCATTGATAAGATAACGTGGGGAAATCGACTGGAGAGGGAGCTTTTTGGAAGTTAGAACCTAATCGGCGCTTAGTCACAGGTTGCCATTGCCCCAGCGCAGACACGGAAATGGACGACACGGACTTTTCGCTCTTCGGCCAGAAGAACAAGCACAAAAAAGACAAAGCAGATGCCACACAGATCGCCAAGACGCCCACTTCGGAGGCGGATCTGAAGCGCATCATCATCTCGAGGCCCACGGTGGACGACACCTACGAGAACTGTGCACACGCCGGCATTGCAGTGATCCTCAATCACAAGGATGTCAAGGGGCAGAAGCAGCGCGTGGGCACCGAACGGGATCGCGACGACATGCAGCACACCCTGCAGACCTTCGGCTTCGATGTGCGGGCCTACAACGATCTGACCTTCTCCGAAATCAACGACATGCTCAAGGAGGGTGAGTCATCTTCAAGGCGCTTCCTAAGGATCCAAGTTTAAAGTTCATTCCATGTTTATTTTGTAGTGGCACGCGAGGATCATAGCGATAATGATTGCTTTGTGCTCGTTGTGATGTCGCATGGCACCGAGGGCAAGGTCTATGCGAAGGACATGTCCTATCCGGTGGAGCGTCTGTGGAACCCCTTCCTGGGCGACAACTGCAAGACGCTGAAGAACAAGCCGAAGCTCTTCTTCATACAGGCCTGCCGTGGCGAGAATCTGGAAAAGGCTGTGGAGTTCACCTCGTTTGCGGTGATGACCAGAGAACTGGCACCCGTCGCAGCGGCGCCCGTGCAGCCGATCACCTATGCCATACCCAGCACGGCGGATATGCTCGTATTTTACTCCACCTTCGACAGTGAGTTTCCCCCCCGCGCACGTCACCCAACCACCAACCACAATCCCAACCCCAATCCCATTTTAATTTCTGTTTCCATTTTTCTTTTAGAATTTTTCTCATTTCGTAATGTGGACGATGGCTCGTGGTTCATTCAGAGTCTGTGCCGTGTCCTGGACATGGCCGCCTTCAATGAGGCGGGCCAACCGGACGGCGTCGAACTGCTGCGCCTGCTGACGGCCGTCAATCGAAAGGTCGCCTACGAGTACCAGTCGAATACGAAGAACGAGGCCCTCAATCAAATGAAGGAAATGCCCAACTTTATGTCCACGCTGACCAAAACCTTTCAGTTGCGTGTGAAGCCAAAGACCAAGACCTGACACCGGACAGCACGAAATCACCAACGCAGCTGACTCACGATGCCCCAAAGCAGGGGGGGGACACAACACAGCAAACCTTTCACAGAGTATACATAAATGTTTGCAATTTGTTTATAAATATATACACACACATGTACTCGTACCCGTAACCGTACCCGTACCCGTACCCGTATGAGAGTGGCCTATCGATCGCACTTATCAGGAATTGGCTTAGTGCCCCTGGGGTAGGCGATGATAACGAGCGTGTCGCGGCTACACTAGATTTCCAGCTGATAGACAAGGCCAACAGGCAGCCCGACAAGTGCATAATGGACAATGGAGTCCCTTTGGGGTCCTTGGTGTCCTCAGTTGTCCGGAACATGTCACGCCTGCCGCACGTTTGCGGACTCTGCCTGCTCCTCTGGCTGTGGCAGCTGCTGGCCTTGGCGCCCTTCAGCTACAGCCGGAGCAGCGGAGCCCGTTGCCGCCGCCTGCTGACCCTGAGCGGTGTACTCCGTTGGCTGCTGCTGACTGGACTCGCGCCTCTGATGCTGTGGCAGAGCGCGGCCATGTACGATGCCACCAATGTGCGGCACTCGCTGATCTTTAAGAACATCGCCCTGGCGGCCATGACGGGCGATGTTTTCATCTCGCTGGCGCTGCTGGGCGCCCACCTCTGGCAGCGTCGGCGATTGGCCAAGCTGCTGAATGGCCTGGCGCAGCTGCATCGCAAACGGAAGCTGGGCTGGTGGGCAACGCTGCTGCTGTGGCTCAAGCTCCTCCTGTCGCTCTACGAGCTGCTCTGCAACGTGCCCTTCCTGCAGGGGGCGGGCAGTCGTCTGCCCTGGACGCAGCTGCTGGCCTACGGCGTCCAGCTCTATGTGCAGCATGTGAGCAGCGTCTATGCGAATGGCATATTCGGCGTAATGCTGCTGCTGCTCGCCAGCCTGGACCACCTGGAGCAGCAGGACTCACTGGCTCTGGCACGGCTGCTGCGACGCGAGCGCCGCTGGCTGCGCCTGTCCACGGACTTTGTCGGCCGCTTTCAGCTGGGCATCTTTCTGCTGGTCATCGGATACTTTGTCAACATTCTGGCCAACATGTACGCCTACATGTCGTACTTCGTCTCGCAGCATGGCGTGCCACTGACCATCTCCAACTACTGTCTGATTGTCACCATCCAGCTGTATGCCCTGATTTTGGCTGCCCATCTCTGCCAGGTGCGGCACGCCCGTCTGCGTCAACGCTGCCTGGCATTGGGCTATCTTCCCCCAGCCATTAACCAGCAGAAGGTGGGTGCTGCCGGAAAGGTGGGGGAAGCATTCAAATCTCACTCTCTCTCGCTCTTTGCAGGCCATGGAGTGGACGCCGTTTCCCTTGGTCGCACCTTTGGACAGTCTCAAGTTCTCCGTTTTGGGGCTATTCACCCTGGACCATTCGTTTTGGCTTTTCCTGGTCTCGTACGCCATGAACTTTATTGTCATTATTTTACAGTTCAGTCTGGAGAATATGCAGCACTCAGATTACTGAGTCAAGCAAAGCACACGTGATATTATTTACTGAGCAATGCCTCACGCGAATATGCCTTGGAAACACCTGCCTGAATCCACTGGTTTGCACTCAAAATATTTTATTGGTCACAAAAACAAGAGTTAAACACACACACGAAGTCCGTGATTTAAGTTGAATTATTAAATATTAAATGAATTGGGAGCGCTAAAAAACACCTTTTAAACTTTCCGCCTTTTTGGATGGCTGACTAAAGTTGAGAGATGCGGAACTAGTTTCGCTTGTGTGAAATTTTTAATAAAAAAATAGAAGAAGAAAAATTCGTTTTAGCCGAGTTTCACACCACCAGTTTCATGTCAGAGTGACAATTGAACACTTTCATGGTGACGAGCTTTGGTCAGCTAACAGCTAAAGCAACATCTACGCTGGACAGCTGGAGAACAGCTGTTCTGGTATAGTATATAATTGTATTTTTCGACTTGGTCACTTTATTCGTTCGTTAACCCATTGTCGACCAGGGGGGTATTTAATATTTGGACTAAATGTATATAATTTTAACATATTTTACGCATTACAAGTGAAAGATGTCGGTGGTCATTTTTGTTTTGTAAGCGAAGAGAAGGGTGGAGCTACAGGGAGCCTTTACAAACAGTATTATTTTCCGCGCTTTAACAAAGGTTGCTCAACTTTTTAAATAGAGGGGTGTTAAGTGGGTTAAGTCTCGTTTGATTGCCGTATTGCCCTCGTTTTTCTGCCATGACTCCTATGCCCGGGAAATCCTACAAATTCAAACAAAAAAGAAGGATCTGGAAGTTCGTCAAGTTACCCTACGAAGAGACAAATTACGGGGAGCAGCAGTACAAGACACTGCCACTTGCTGCAGACACGTCCAAGCTATGCTGCTTCAACGAGGGATCCTTCAAGCAGGTCCAGCCATTTACGCATCTCAATGCACCAGCAACTGCTTGTCGATGCCACTCTCGCCCTTGGGAGGAGGGACGTGGAACAACGAGGCGTCCATAGCGAGGTTGTCGGATATGGCACAGGCACTGGAAGTGTAAGCAGCTCAGCCTGCGACCTCAGCGCTGCCCACAATCCACAAGCTATTTGCCCTGAAGATCTGCTTGAGCATATGTGGCCGCCAACAGAAGCAATCAGATCTCGCCTTCTCTGCTCGTTCCTAGAAGGTTAATAAAACCTAATGAAACTTCTGGAGGTGCAAGAACATTCAAGAACATTGTGGCTAGCCCTGAAGCAAGTCTGCAGCAACATCTATTACGATGACCAATTTAGTGGGCAATCGAATGAAGAGCGTGGATGCGCTCAAGATTTTTGGCAATGTCTAATATGGACTTCTGTATCTCAGGGGAAATAAGGTATGTCTGAGGCATATAATCTACCAAAATCTACTCGTACTTGACACTAATGAATCAATACTCAATAATCGGGTAGCTGTAAAATTTGAGGATTTGTGGAGAAAGTACTTGAAGTTCAAGGCGATCCTCTCGGCACATTGCTCTTTTACAATAATCCCAACAGACCAATGCGATCCAAAAGATATAATAAAACTCCATTCATTCGTTCAATACATAAATGTTAGTTTTTGGTTGCGATTTCGTCGCATTCGTGAATTTTGATTTGATTTGATTTGGTGAAACGTTTTTTGTCACTTGGCTAACCATTCGATTGGCCATTCATTGCATTGCATAAACTGGAAACGAAAGTCGCGCAGGCAGCGCAAGGCAACGAAATTAAATCCCCCAAACTAGTTGGAATGGATTTGCAGTCAAACAGACATCAAATTGATGAACTTAGCCACAAGCTTAAAGATATGATTGCCATTAATAAAACGTGAGTGCAAATATGCATCTACATCTGCATATTTTTGCATATATTATAGTAGTAATTGATCTGCAGGGTTTGGAAACATATGCGAAGCCATAGCCCATCGATGCATACACAAATTGCTGTTTATTTGCCTCATATCGAAATCATATCGAAGGGGCAGTTCTCTTCCTGCTTTCACTTGCCAACTGGCCACAAACTTCTTGGGCAGCCCTCGTTGATTAGCATTAATTCTGCCGATGCAACAGGCAACAGGTAGCAGGCAGCAGCAACAGCAACAGCAAACCACAAGCCAAGCCAGCACAGGTGGGGAGCATTCGCACGCGCCAATTTTCCAAGCCGCTGACTCCATCGGTTGCTCGGATCGTCTTACCTTCTTCTGCTTGGCTTACCCTTTCCCAGGCATTTGCGTAGGTTGATTCGAGCTGTCGGTCAGTTGCCGCTCACCCCCCTCCCCCCACTCCGTCTCCACTCAGGTGTTATGTAAAGTTATGTAGTTATGCCTTTGCTTTGCTTTGCCTTTCTTTTGAGTTTTTCTTCGCTTTTTACAATTTTCCTTTGCCTTTGGGCTCGGCTCCCTTGTGTTGCATTCTCTTCCCTTTCTGTTCTGTTTCGATTGCTGCTTCATTTATGTGCAGCCAAAGCCAAGAACCGTTAAGACGCTGGCTTTATTGCAACTGCAACAGAGCAGCAGACAGCAGGCACCATGGGCATGGCATGGGTTTACCTTTGATTGGATCCAGCAGCTTATCGCTTCTTTGTTGGGCTGTCTCTGTCTTTGTCCCTCCGTATTTTGTATTTCGTATTTCGTATTCCGTATTCAGTGATTTGTATTGTGTTTGATGGTTGCTTGACTTGTTGCTGACACTCACTGCTTTCCACAGCGTTGTGGCTGTGGCTGTGGCAGTGGCTGTGGCGCATCAAGTCATCATCATCTGTCTGGGGCCCAGCATCGACAGCCTAGGGCCTGCTCGGGCCTGGCCTGGCCTGCCCGGGCTGCATGTTTTTTATTGGCTTTATGTTAATAACTTTTATTGTTTATACTTTACGAGTGGCTTTTGCTGTCGGTGTCCGACCTACCTTCCTTCCTTGTTGCTCTCTTTCTTTCTCGCTTTCGTTCATTCATTGGCAGTCCGACTGCCTTTTGTCTTTGCAACACGCAACGCAACAAACGCAACAACAAGACCGCAACGGTTTCTGCTGATCTGAGTAGAGCTTAGGCTTAGACTAGGCTCTCTAGCCAAGGATACTGCCAGCCACTTGCTGCACTGCCTCCCACTCTTCTGCAGACTTTTCCGCCGCATCTGTCGGCCACTTGTTGTTTGTCATGGCTTTTCTTGTTTTCTCGCCTGTGTGTGAAAAACTAGTCTCATCGCACTCTCCACTCTCTTCACTCCACCAGCCAGCTACAGTCCCAGCTCCAGTCCCAGTCCCAGCCCCAGTGCCAGCCCCAAGCCTGTGTGGCGCTTGCAGTGCTGAAGATCGCTTCAGTTGGTCGTGTGGTGTTTGCGTTGTCGGTCGTTGTTTCGGTTGTTTGCGATGTGAGAGTGCGGTTCGTGCTACTCCAAAACTATAAATTGTGCAGCAGAAATCTATCAAGGATAAGCCAACAGTTAAAGCCCAGCAATGACCTACCAACCGCTCTGTGCCAGTGCCAGTGCCTGTGCAATTTGGCTGCTTTCTTGGCTATTTGTTTTGGGCCAGGCCGCAAAAGCGGGACAAGTGCAAGGCAAGTTTTGGTTCGATGGCATGGCCGAAAAGCCGTTATAGCCTTTATTAGCTGACGACGGGATATGCTCGTAAATCTCTGTGGCAGCAGCAGCTATGTGTCTCTGAATGTGTCTCTGATTGTGTCTCTGTGTGTGTCTCTCTCTCAATATCAATCTTCCAGTTACTTGGTGCTAATGTGTGTAAACGCGTAAATCGATGCTGGACAATTTAGTAGCCCAGCCCAGCCTGTCGTGGCCTGGCCTGGCGACTGCTTGCAGTTTGTCGCCCAAGTCTTTCGTTTTGCTTCCCATTCCCGTCAACCCGTTTATCTCGTTGTGGCCAATCGGTCGGTCGTTTGTTGTTGCTGCTGTTGCCGAACCGATTCGATGCCGTTAAATAACCCAAATTTCAAATTTAAATGCTGCTGCGACAGCTTTTCCTCACAAATAAATACAACAATAAAAACCAGCAAGGAAATTTTGCAAGGAAATCGATTTTTGGCAACATAACCTGCTGCTAATTTGTTTATGCAACTTGGCTGGATGCGGTTGGACAGCTGACCCACATTGGCCCATAGCCTTACCATTTCAGGGAAGAGAGACTGGTTGACCCATTTCGGCAACCTGCTCCTGGCCAGCATACCGGCACCTTGCTGGTAACTCTGGGTGTGACCGCCCGACTTGAACTCAAAAAGCAACTTGGGAACCCAAGAGGAGAACCCAAGAGGAGTATGAACGAGTGCGAGTGTTTGTGTTTTGTGTTTGTGGTGTGGCAATGTTCTAATTAAAATTTAATTCTTTTGTGTTACTTGGAATGACCGCTTGACTTTAATGGCCAGCAAACGAGCGCAGTGGCTAAACTTGAAGCAAATACAAAGTAAATGGTTCGTAGGCCAACAAGCAACAACCAGGCAACAACCAGGCAGCAAGTGCTAAAGTGTTCAGCACCAATGTGAAGTCTGAAGACTGAAGAATGAAGAATGAAGAATGGAGTGCATATGAATTACATATAATTTCTGTTTTATGAGAACAATGGGAATGACATTTATGTTGTGGGAAATGAGTTGAGGAACCGTTACGAAAACGTATTCAATCTGGAAAGTGTTTAGTGCAATCGGAATGGAGCGCCACAATAATGAGTGCACAGTGTACACTCGTTTTAATCATTAAATGATTGGCAAACATTTACGTTTAAAATGTGGCAACGAACGCATGGATATGACCAAAGAATTAATATCAAATTTAATCCAAATACTAAGGGATAATATTCTGTATAAATATTCTAACTTTAATAGCAATGCCGCTGCAGCTCACCATTTTCAAAAAACTTTTCTTATCTTCCAAATGGAAAAAGTTATACCTTTTTAGAGAGCTTGGAGTGTCACCATTAGAAAACCCAACGAAATGCCGTTACATTTGCATTCCATCTGCTGGTTTTTTGATGAGTTTAAAGTCGCCGACTTTAAAGATTAGACAAAAACCCATACAATATTCTGTTCATTGAATCAGTAGTGCTTGGTGTAAGCACTTAAAATCACAATCAGCATGCTGATTATATAGCTATTGAATATTTGTATGAAAGACATGGA